GTCATCGGAGATTCCATCTGAAGTCCCCCCCGGCTCCAGAATGTGCCGGGAGTTTTATGGAGAGGTGCAGAGCGCGGTTCGAGCGGGGGCACTTTGAAGGGGAAATACACGATACCCCCCTCCCATTCCGGTAAACACCGCGATGATGGAGCTCCGGATGTGGCAAGCACCGATTATCACCTGACCGAGCTGAATTAATGCCGCATGAAAACCATGGAATTTATCTTGGTAAATAACTGTCCTGGGTAAGGGAATGGAAGTGAGCCCTGTGTGTTTGTTTATGGAAAAATGAGTCAGAAAGCCCCTGGGGAGGCTGATGTCTCCGGTGGGGCGTGGGTTCGTGGCCCTGGTCCCATCTGCCCTGTCTGAGTGTGTATCTTAACCTCACAGGGAGCTGTGATGGGGCCATTGTGGTGTGGAACAGCAGCACGGAACATGCCCTCCGCAAGCTGGGCCCAGACATCCCATCTCAGCCTCAGAGCCGGTCAGGTCAGTATGCCATGTCTCACCCCTGAGAGGGCGGAGCTTTAGGGGATTGGCACAGGCCAACCATGTCTCACCCCTGAGAGGGCGGGGCTTTAGGGGATTGGCACAGGCTAACCATGTCTCACCCCTGAGAGAAGGTGGAGCTTTAGGGGATTAGCACAGGCTAACCATGTCTCGAACCTGAGAGAGGGTGGAGCTATAGGGGATTGGCACAGGCTAATCGTGTGTCACCCCTGAGAGAGGGCAAAGCTTTAGGGGATTAGCACAGGCTAATCGTGTGTCACCCCTGAGAGAGGGCAGAGCTTTAGGGGATTAGCACAGGCTAACCATGTGTCACCCCTGAGAGAGGGCAGAGCTTTAGGGGATTAGCACAGGCTAACCATGTGTCACCCCTGAGAGAGGGCAGAGCTTTAGGGGATTGGCACAGGCTAACCATGTGTCACCCCTGAGAGAGGGCAAGCTTTTTGGAGATTAGCACAGGCTAACTATGTCTCGACCCTGAGAGAGGGCAGAGCTTTAGGGGATTGGCACAGGCTAACCATGTGTCACC